TCATATGTATGCTGATGACACTATTGTATACTCATGTGCTCCTTCTCTGGATATGGCCGTTTCCAATTTAAAATCTGATTTTATCACGCTGCAGCATGCACTTCTTGATTCCAAACTGCTATTGAACAGTAAGAAAACCAAAGCAATGCTTTTTGCTCCCAAGTTAGCGTCCTCTTGCCTCTCCATTGACACCCTTGATGGCGTTTCTGTTGAGTTTGTTGATACCTACAAATATCTGGGCTTTTGGTTGGACAGTAATCTGAACTTTAAACACCATATTGAAGTTTTAACAAAGAAATTGAAATTCACTCTTGGCTTCCTTTTCAGACTTAAATGTTGTTTTTCAATTTCATCCCGTAAAAGGTTGGTCTCTGGCTTATTCCTGTCCCAGCTGGACTACGGTGATACCATTTATAGATTTGCCTGTCCCACTGTTTTGGCCAAACTTCACCCACTTTACCATGCTGCACTGCGTTATATATCAAATGCACCCTATAGGACTCATCATTGCACACTGTATAGCCTAACTGGATGGTCCTCACTTACTATGCGTAGGATGCAGCACTGGTTTTTATTAATGTATAAAGCCATTTTAGGTAAGCTTCCACTCTACATATGTGTCAGATTTGCCCCAGTTTGCGACTCTTACCACCTCAGATCCAGTGCCTGGATACGGTTCCAGGTACCTGCTGTGTGGACTGAGGCTGGAAAAAGGAGTCTTTTTTATTATGGTCCTTGGTCTTGGAATGACCTTCAATCAAGCCTAAAACTGAGGACACTTGTCTCTATAGCATGTTTTAAATTGAAGTTGTCTGAAGTCCTCACCATCAGCTGCTCTTGCAGTAACAAGTAGTGTACTTTTCTTACTGTCCTAATGTGCACAATGTGGTGACTGCTTTTTCGTCTTTTGTTTTCTTAGTTATGTTCTCTGTATTTTATATGTTTGTGTTATGTGTTATGTGTAACGTTGCTGCCTTCTTGGCCAGGTCAGCATTGAAAATGAGATTTTATCTCAATGCTTTTATCTGGTTAAATAAAGGTTAAATAAAAAAATAAAAAATAAATAAAATCATTTTCTCACAGGATATAGAATGAGACAACACAGTTTGTATCCATTGTGTATGAATAAACGCTTCAGCTCTTCAGACCAACATAGCCTGATGTGAGCATGTTCCTAATTGTGTTTACTGTTTAATAAGGCAAATCTGCCACTTTTATATTGTAGATTTTGTTAAATTAAAGAAGTCTTTAAAGGTGGGGTAGGTAATTTTGGAGAAACCAGCTTGAGTGCGCTAGAATTTGAAAATACACAACCGGAAAAAATCTGCCACTTCCTTACAGAGCCCCTCCTCCAACACACACGAACGTGCACATGACCAATGAGGGCACGAGATAAGTTTGTGCACAGATGGAAGGCTGACAGGCAGGTAGGCCATCCAGTTACTTTAGCCGGCCCGGCTAAAATGATTGATGACATTTTTGTATGGATTTTTTGTCAAAGCACTTAAGATATTCATTGCTATCGGAAAGTGTATCTCGAGCCGGTTTCTCAAACTTACCTACCCCACCTTTAATTGTTTGTCCTAATATAGCAATATATGCTTTTGAAATGTAACATGTCTTTATATTGTGTATCACCTTTAGCTTGAAAATACATAGATGTGTTTTTTTTATCTATAAAATAAATAAATAGACAGACAGACACTTTATCGATCCCAAATTGGGAAATTATTTTACAGCAACAGTGTGTTCAGGTATTAAAATATTTAAAGTTGGAATGAAGTATAAACTACACAACACAAGTATAATGCACAGCAATCCATAAGATAAGTCCGATATTTTCATGAAAACTCCCCAGGAGGCACCAACACTAACATGGCCGAGTTGACTCCGGAGTTTGCTGCATGAGTTGCACTGTATGATCTGTGGTGTAGTGGGCTGTCACTCAAAAACTGAGTAGCCAATGGGGACGCACCCCTGAAAGTCCCGCCTACCTGGGACGTGTCAGAATCGCAAACAAAAAATGAGGGAGCGCAAACGAGAGAGCTGCAGCGAGAGCAAAAGTCTGATAATTGAGAAAGAAGCAAAGAGAACTGTTTTGCTTTTTTTTCTCTAAAACTCTTAGTTTTGATTCTTGATTCTTGATTGCTTGATTCTGAGAAAGTGTTCCTTTATCTTTATGAAGCAAAACTAATCCCATAGTTAATAGCTTTGCTGTCTGTTTACATTTCATTTTTGGTAGTATGCTAAAGTGATTCTACGGATGGAGCCTAAATGTATTTGTTATTTTTGTGTCTTTATAGCTCTTACGTTGATATTGGAGATTTCAATAAATTCATATCATCACTCAAGTCTTCGACCATTATTCGGAGGGAAATGCCCCCTGGAAAAATATGACCCACCCTATTTTATACAGGCCCGCCCTAAAGTACATTTCTGCCACGCTACTGATTCACACTTGTATTTTCAGATCCACACCTGTGTTTTTCAATGCACACACAAATGTGTTCCTTTTCATATACATTATATATTTATTTTTGATCCACACATATTTGTTTTCCGTTTAAAACCGGTGCACCTGCAAACACAACCCGCTTTCTGTGCATGGATCGCTGTGCATTCATGTGTGGATTTTTTGAGACTCCCCTGACGGTCACCCGATTCGTACTTGTACTTTTTTCTATCTATAGCCGATCAGATGTCTCCTCAATTCTAAGCCAAACACATAAGCGCGCCCCCACGAGGGTATGATTTATTGTGTTCTCAGGACACCTCCACTCTCAGTACATTGTCACTTTCCGAACAGGAAATGCACGCAAATACAATCTTTTATATTATTAAGGTACAGCGCCACTTTCCGAACCATGCTTGTGTACACAAAAACGGCAGGCAAAACCGTTTTAAATGTGTGTTTCCTGTATGGCGAATAGAGCTGCTTTATTTATGTCTGTATGAAGTTGTTGTGAGTGTGGAGGGAGCAGCTACAGGTTAGCACAGCCTGATCGATTAGTGGCCTGTACTACGAAGCCAGTTCAACAGACCCTGGATATCTCTGAGTTATCTGGCTTAACTAACCCTAACAAGCCGTCCTACAACGCTGGTTATCAACTCAGTAAATCAACCCAGGGTTTCTCTGTCCGGCCGAGAGTGCGTACACATGAAAGGGGCGGGGTTAGCAACATTTGACCAATCACAAACAGGGACAAGCGTACTGACAGCGCAGAGGCATACTTCATGAATGAAAAGTAAACTATAATATTAGACAAATATGAAGAAGTTAAACTTTAAACATCCATGACTTAAACACTTAATCCAGGAGCAGGGGCGGACTGGCCATCTGTGTGTTCTGGAGAATCACAGAACGGCCGGTCGTCAGCGGGCCGCTGACGGCCGGTGTTGTGTCAAATTATGCACCCCCGTCCAGTGGCGTTTTTATCAACCCGGTATCACGGCAAGACGTGAATATGTGACGATCTACCATGCTGGGAGACGTGAATATGTCACGGTTTCGTCCCTTCAAACGTGACAGTTACACAGTATTGTTAACATGGCCCAACCAGTGGAGAAATACCCGGAAGTGCCTAGCAAATGGTCTACCGCGCCTATTGGTCGGTTTTTATTGTCAAAATTAGATGTTTTTAATTTATTTTTTAATCATCACACTTGATTTCGCCGATTTTCTTGTTGCCCTAGCTGGTCGACACCTCTTTTAGCAGAAACAAAGGCTACATTAATGTATTAAATCGATGTTAATCCATGTGTGTGGAGGTGAGGATGTGGAATTAACGGACGTGACGTTGTGTGATTGCGTTGCCAGGCAACGCAATTTACAAACTCTTCAACTACAACCCTAATTATATTTTAAAACATTTTAGAAGGCCTCACGAAATACTTTAATGTAAATTAAAATGTAAATGTGAAGGGGTGTGTGTAATGTGGTGATTGACATTATTCACCCACGGATCTATGGGTTGGGGGTATTGTTTATTTTATAAATATAAATAAAGACATCTTGTATTTTAGTTACAGCCGCTATTGATTAATTTTGTCAACATTGGACCTTGACACCGTCCACAGAGCTATAGTGAATTAATATAATAGAAAACATTAAGCCTCTTTGATTTAATAATCGGAGCTGAAACCTCTCTGCCATCTCATATAACACACACTTCCTTATTTATATTTGAATGATAATAACATAAAAATAAAGACGACTATACTACGGTGCTTCGGTCCTGAGATTAGCGCCTGCAGGCAGGCTCCATGGACCTGTCAGCTCTGGACAGCGCAAAAAGCGTATATGAAGTGCTACGTCACGAACGCAAGAAATCATACCCTCGTGGGGGCGCACTCATGTGATTGGCTTAGAATGGGGAGGCTCTGGCGCAGTGGGCTAGTGCGTTAGTGTTCGGATCAGGGGAGCACAGGTTCAAACACCACTGCAACCAGCATGTCGTTGTGTCCCTGGGCAAGACACTTCACCCCAAATTGCACCTGTGGGGATTGTCCACAGTATTGAGTATGTAAGTCGCTTTGGATAAAAGCGTCAAACAAGTAACATGTCATGTAATGGAGGAGACATCTGATTGGCTATAGATAGAACAAATTACAAGTACGAATCAGGTCACCGTCAGGGGAGTCTCAAAAAACCCACACACAAATGCACAGCGATCCAAGCACAGAAAGCGGGTTGTGTTTGCAGGTGCAGCGGTTTTAAACGGAAAACAAATATGTGTGGATCAAAAATACATATGTAAAACTTTTTTCTGTATTTGGATTTTATTTACATGTATATCAAACGGAACACATGCTACACAACCCTCTGAACAACACAACCCTCTGATGCGTGTGTTGGTAGCTTGGCACGCTACTTCTCTGGAACCGTTGCTGCTTCCAGTGTTTCCTCCTGAAGTCTTTGATCACTACCCAGTCACCGGGCTCGAAGTGGTGTTGTGGCGCATCAGCTGGCGTCTGCAGTACGGCTTTCCCCTGAGAGTGGATAGCTGAAAGGGAGACTGAAAGACTTATACAGTAGTTCAACAAAAGGTAACTTAAATTGTCTCAACTTTCAGAAACTAACATTACATTAACAGAATAATATTCTTTAAATCTGTGCCAGTTCGTCTTGTGCCTTGGGCCATCAAGAGAGCCAGCTTTTCACGCCAAAAGATATTTGTAGCTGCTTTCACAATGATGACATGCTATTTTCTTTTTATTAACCAGTAAAATAGATCTTTACAGGATCAGAATATCTTGAATATTATTCATCTTTATGGCTTTGTAAGATTATATGTCTCTATTTAACACAATGGACATGATTATCACACTTGTTTCAGTCTTAAATCTGTATTGTCACTGTGCTTTTTAATATGGTCATATCAATAGTTAGTATTTCCTGATATTCTTCTTTTTGTTTTATATATAAAATGATGTGTGACTTCCTCAAATGATGTGTGACTTCCTCAAATGATGTGTGACTTCCTCAAAAATATAAAGCATTTAGAAATTCAAACCAGCAACCACACTTTCCCCGGTCACATACTTCAGGATACTTGCTGCAGAGCTGACCTTCTAGGAAAGAGTTGGCATTCCCATGAGCAATGGAGAAAATCTATGACAATGCTGTTGATGTCAAAACCCTAAGCTCAAGATCATCAACAATACAAGAAGGTAAGAGTGTCTGTTAGAGTGCACTGTGGATTTTGGATTTACTGTATTACTCCCTGGTCTTCTCTGTGTTCAGGTCCCAGGAGACTTCTCAGAGCGCCTGTTCTCGGTCTGGGGCTGCTGAGTGTTTTCCTGCTGGCTGGACTCATCGGCCTCGCTGTCCACTGTGAGTCTTTCTTTTAATATGTTTAATAATGTCATTTTGAACGTGTGATTTTAAGGAGCAATATTCTGCTCTGAAAGATGCACATTTGACCAAAACATCTATAGTTTTTCTACTTTTCTCCTAGGGCCAAATTAGGAAAAATTAATTTTGGTTTGTGTCAGTATGATTGCATCAGGTAATTTAAGAAACATCTATTTTCATTTCAGACCATAACTCAGTAGGTGGTGCCGCTGCAGATTTATCCGCTGTCAAAGCAGACCTGACCTCAGTGACTGAAGAGAGAGACAACCTGACTGAGCGTCTCCAGGCCAGAGATCAGCTGATCAACCAGCTGAAGGACAACCTCACTGAGCGTCTCCAGGCCAGAGATCAGCTGATCAACCAGCTGAAGGCCAACCTCACTGAAAAGACCAGAGACGTGGAGTGTTTGAGTGAGTGCTTCATGTGGGGGGGGGGTTTGCATAGGGCTCGGTATGTGTAAGATATCAATTATCATAATATGTTTTGCAAAATACCTCAATATTGATATTCTAAGGCTGACTATTGATCCTTTCATAAAATAGTTACAGAATGAAACTTTTCATTAATGATAATTAAGAATTAGTTTGTAATGACTTAGTTGTGAGTGATTTAATTTATAGTTTGTTTTATTTTTCTTCACCCACCATACTGTATTTATGTTTCTCTGTAAACTATGCTTATGGCCAGTTTCCTTGTCTAAATTACTTTTAATATAAGCAATAGGAAGAATAACTTAGAGGTAGTTTGTTCCAGATATTTGCTGCATAATAATAATAACAATAATAATAATAATAATAATAATAATAATAATAATAATAATAATAATAATAATAATAATAATAATAATAATAATAATAATAATAATAAATGATAACAAGGTTTCAAACCAATTTAGAACTGTTGCCGAAAGTCAGACCCAGTTTTCCAGTTGGTCAAGTAACTAACACCAAAATGTTGCCACTGTCTGTGTTTAAGTGGATGTCATTGAAGACTTTAACAAGATCAGTCTCAGTGCTGTGGTGCCTGACTAGATCACATCCAAACAGTTATTTAAATCTCAAAAAAGAGAAGTAGTTTGTGATCTCTTTTGATCCCTCTAAAAATGCTTAATAAATATTTGTTTTCATTATTATTACAAAAGTGACATATAATGCACTCAAGAGTTCCATATTTCAGCAGTTAAAGCAGTAAATCAACAAGATCTTACAACTTTTACAGAGAAAATGTGTCCTGAAGGATGGAGGAAGTTTGGTAGTTCCTGTTATCTCTTCTCTACTGAGAAAGCTTCTTGGGAACAAAGCAGACAAGACTGCACAGCCAGAGGAGCAGATCTGGTGATCGTAGACAGTGAGGAAGAACAGGTAATGTGTGCTGCTTTAACACTTGTGATTGTATAACTCATGCTTTTGTCAATCAATAATGTTTTTATTGTACATATACTAGCAAATGTGTCTATCAGCTATAATGATTACGTCACAACAATGGTGTTAATTACATATTTCTGAGCTAGTAAAAAGGGAAAAGTTATCTGAATGTTGATGTCCATCCCAGTAAACTGCATTTTTAATATGTGAACAGGGATTCATCACTAGCATGACTAAGAAAAGCACTTGGATTGGTTTGAGTGACAGAGAAGAGGAGGGGACCTGGAAATGGGTGGATGGATCTCCACTGAATCTGACGTAAGGCTTTACTTTGGTTTTAAATACAGACGCTGGTTTATGTTGTGACCTTTCTAAATGTTTCACATGTTTCTGTAATGGGAGTTAACACAACACACAGGATGCATTTAAACGTAGGGTGTCTGCCCCTTTCACCAGAAGATTAATTTGGGTTTTAAGAAAAGAACATGGCTGTATTACTTATAGTTATTTGTATTTGATGTCCAATCTTTTAGTTAATCTTGTTTTCCTGTAATACCTGTTAGGTTTTGGAGAGAAGGAGAGCCTAATAATTATCATAGAGGAGAGGACTGTGCCCACATCTATCATATCTCCAATAAGTGGAACGACCAGTCCTGTGAGACCTATCTGCATTGGATCTGTGAGAAAGAAGCCTAACATTGGTGTCTGTTTGGATACTATACATGCAATCATGATTTTACAATTTATTATAAATTGAGATATTTAAAACTATACAAAAAGTCTGATTTCATGAATAAGAATTACGTTTCTTGACTCGATAAATCACAATTGGTTTTTTTGAGGGTTTTTTTCAGATTAATATCAGTAATAAATACATTTTCATTGAATTTGTTTTTGCCAACTTTTGTTTGCCTCAATTAAATTATTATTTGTATTAATCCTTTTACATATCAACATAAAAACAGCTTATTAAAAACATCTGCTGATAAGCCCACAGTTCCTGAAAGCTATAATATTGAAGGTGCCTTATTGAGCAGAATATGATAAAAATAAGAAAAAGAAAAACTGTCAAACATTATTGAATAATTCAGAAATATACAACAATACTCTCGTCTCAGCATTGGTCTAATTTGTTCAAATGTGTAAAATAGCCTGTGTGTTATACAGTATGTTTCCTAACAATGACCTCTTGTGGCCATGTGAGTACAAATCTATTGCAGGTATTTAACATTCATAGGTACCAGCCACTTTGTACATACTGTAAGAACTAGTGCTGTCAATTAATACAAAAATGTATGTATGTTTATCACAATAATAATCTGGGACTTTAACTGCAGGATTTGCTCAAGATTCATTTAAAAAGTAAACTGCCTTTTATTTGAAGTTAATTACAGAACTTTAGTAAATGGGCAAATTAGATTTAGCTAGATCAGGAAATGGCAACTTTCTTTGAGCATGCATACAAAGATAAAAACCGTAAAAAGATATTGTGGGTGTATTACATGTTCTCTGACAAGATAAAGCTCTTCCACTTCAACAAACTGCTGTTATCAGATAAAAAGCAGCTTTACCACTTCACCTTTTTTTCTCAAAGTGAACAACTCCTCCCTGAAAGTTATCTTTGAAATGATGTACACTTTTTATATTTATGATCAGCGGCAGACAGAGTACTTCACAGAAAGACATTTGTGTTTATCAGCATTTAAAATTAAGATCCCTGCTTTCACAACAATGTCATGCTATTCTCTTTTTATTAACCAGTAAAACAGAACTATACAGGATCAATACATTTAGAATATTATTCATCTGTATGGCTTTGTAAGATGATATGTCTCTATTTAACACAATGGAATTGATTATCTCACTTGTTTCAGTCTTAAATCTGTATTGTCAATGTGCTTTGGCAATAGTGTGTTTTAAATGTGGGCATGTCAATAAAGCTTATTTGAATTTGTCTTGACTCTCAGCGTGAGATAAAAAAACAATTTCCTTATATTTTTGAGATAGATATATAGATAATTATCTGGCACAGTTGCTAGGATACCTTTAGCACTTAAGAGGTGTGACGTATTGATGGTGTTTTGTTTTATCCTTTACGCTATTGCCATTTTCCCAGACATCATATTTCAAATTATCTAGATGAAAATATTTTATAGGGCTGTTTTTTTTATAAGTTAATGTCATTTTGAATTTGTAATTTTCAAAACCACTTTCTGCCCTCTGTCCTTTACTTAAGTTTGTATCAGTATGAGGTATTTTCTGTTTAGAAAACGTGTCTCTTGATCATTTCAGGTTTTATATTTCATAACAAACTTGATTTCAGATTTTCCACTTACCTCAGGTCATCACTAAAATAGATTCCACTGCCCAGATTACCCGCGTCTGTTCTCTCAATCCCATGATGCTCCACTCGGACACGGGGCAGCAGCAGACCACTAAAGAGAGGGTAAACTTTGTTAAAGTTAAAAAAATCCAAGACCAAATAAGATTTCTTAGTTGTCCATTTGAAGATTACTATACTGTACCTGTCTGCAGTACAATATCATCAAATATATCACGTTGCTAAAGCTACGCTCCACTGCGAGTCTAAGCGCTCAATTCAGATGAACTACTTGTTTGGAGTTGTTCACATTATTCTTTTAAAGGAACCAACATCAGAATCCAATTTGAATTGGTTTCACAAAGGAACTATAACACTCACATTACACACAGCATAGACTATGATCAATGAGCTTCATTTATACCTAAATACAGCAGGGGGATCCCAGCAAAACTGGCTTTAATTAAATGTATAGCCAAAGTGCGCAGGAAAGTAAACGTTTTTTCTAATTTCAAGTCAGAACAGTATACCATGTTTTCTTGGTGGTACTCCCTCCGTACAGAAGTCAGTCTGGATTAAAAAAATCAACAAGTACTTTTTCGTCTCACAAATGATCTTTATCAGTTTCCTTGCAAGAAAACCTGGGATTGTCCAACAGAAATTGACAGATACATTTCAGGATGCTGTGTGTGTGTGTGTGTGTGTGTGTGTGTGTGTGTGTGTGTGTGTGTGTGTGTGTGTGTGTGTGTGTGTGTGTGTGTGTGTGTGTGTGTGTGTGTGTGTGTGTGTGTGTGTGTGTGTGAAACGTTTGTGTTTCTGCCCCTGCCATTCCCGCACAAGGTTGCAACATTGTTGATAAATTCAGGCACCGACACCTGTCTGCTCTCACATTCCCGCATTATGTTTTGGGGAAGCCAATCTTTATTTTTCTCCCATTCTATCCCAGCTGCAAATTTGGTGGCGAGAAACAATAAATAAATCTTCGCCAGTTTGGGTCCTTATCACAACTGATCAAGATGGCCAAAAGGTTCTCTGCTCAGAGGGCCTTGCAAATGATTTTGTAAGAGAGAGAACCATTTGATGATGATGAAGAGGAAGAGGTTTCAGAATGTGAGGATCACATTTCTGAGAATTCTGAGTCTGACAGTGACTTTGAAGAAGAGGATGAGATTGAGCATCAGCTACAAACAAAAGACGAGCCACAGGACCAGCATGTCAGCGGCCAAAACAACAAGTAGCACTTTAATTCATTAATGTTATCTAACAAATGTGAAAGGACAAATATTAACAATATATGATGTTTATATTGCTTGTAATTGGGATGAAGTAAACATCTGTTGAGTATTTTAACATAAAATGGTTTGATGGTGTTGAATTGAAACCCAAAAAGGCAGCAGGTCCACCAGACCCACGAACACTGGCTGAATAACAAAAATATGAACACCAGACAAGGGTTAAGGGGCTTTCCAGAAAATAAAGGCCCACTCTTGTCATAATACACAGGAACAGAAATGAATGACATCCTGGGTTATGCTTCTGCCTACATCATACGCTTGTGACGATTAGTAATGCTCAATCATGCATTTGTCCGAGCCACAGATTGAAACAGAGAACAAGTTCACCCTTGGTATCATGAGTTCAACCAGAGGACAGGTGCATACAATGCGGTTTTAAACGGAAAACAAATATGTGTGGATCAAAAATACATATGTAAAACTTTTTTCTGTGTAAAACTTGTATTTACATGTATATGAACCGGAACACATCCCTCTGAACAACACAACCCTCTGATGCGTGTGATGGTAGCTTGGCACGCTACTTCCCTGGAACCGTTGCTGCTTCCAGTGTTTCCTCCTGAAGTCTTTGATCACTACCCAGTCACCGGGCTCGAAGTGGTGTTGTGGCGCATCAGCTGGCGTCGGCAGTACGGCTTTCACCTGAGAGTGGATAACTGAGAGGAAGACTGAAAGACTTATACAGTAGTTCAACAAAAGGTAACTTAAATTGTCTCAACTTTCAGAAATTAACATTACATTAACAGAATAATATTCTTTAAATCTGTGCCAGTTCGTCTTGTGTCTTGTGCCATCAAGAGAGCCAGCTTTTCACGCCAACAAATATTTGTAGCTGCTTTCACAATGATGACATGCTATTCTCTTTTTATTAACCAGTAAAATAGATCTTTACAGGATCAGAATATTTTGAATATTATTCATCTTTATGGCTTTGTAAGATTATATGTCTCTATTTAACACAATGGACATGATTATCACACTTGTTTCAGTCTTAAATCTGTATTGTCAATGTGCTTTGGCAATAGTATGTTTTTAATATGGTCATATCAATAAAGTTAGTATTTCCTGATATTCTTTATATAAAATGATCTGTGACTTCCTCAAATGATGTGTGATTTCCTCAAATAGATAAAGCATTTAGAAATTCAAACCAGCAACCACACTTTTCCAGGTCACATACTTCAGGATACTTGCTGCAGAGCTGACCTTCTAGGAAAGAGTTGGCATTCCCATGAGCAATGGAGGAAATTTATGACGATGTTGACAATGTCAAAACCCTAAGCTCAAGCTCATCAACAATACAAGAAGGTAAGAGTATCAGTTAGAGTGCACTGTGGATTTTGGATTTACTGTATTACTCCCTGGTCTTCTCTGTGTTCAGGTCCCAGGAGACTTCTCAGAGCGTCTGTTCTCGGTCTGGGGCTGCTGAGTGTTTTCCTGCTGGCTGGACTCATCGGCCTCGCTGTCCACTGTGAGTCTTTCTTTTAATATGTTTAATAATGTCATTTTGAACGTGTGATTTTCAAGAGCAATATTCTGCTCTGAAAGATGCACATTTGACCAAAACATCTATCGTTTTCCTCCTAGGGCCAAATTAGGAAAACATTCATTTTGGTTTGTGTCAGTATGTTTGCATCAGGTCATTTAAAAAACATCTATTTACATTTCATTTCAGACTCCGCTGTCGAATCAAACCTGACTGAGCATCTCCAGGCCAGAGATCAGCTGATCAACCAGCTGAAGGCCAGCCTCACTGAAAAGACCAGAGAGGTGGACAGGCTTCAGTGTTTGATGGGTAAGGGTCAGTGCTTCATGTGGGGTTTTGCATAGGGCTCGGTATGTGTATGTAAGATATCAATTATCATAATATTTTGTACAAAATACCTCAATATTGATAGTCTAAGGCTGACTATTGATACTTTCGTAAAATAGTTACACAATGACACTTTTCATTAATGATAATCAAGAATTAGTTTTTAATGACTTAGTTGTGAGTGATTTCATTTATAGTTTGTTTTATTTTTCTTCACCCACCATATTTATATTTCTCTGTAAACTATGCTTATGGCCAGTTTCCTTGTCTAAATTACTTTTTAATATAAGCAATTGGAAGAAGAACTTAGTGGTAGTTTATTCCAGATATTTGCAGCATAATAATAATAATAATAATAATTTCCGGTCTAGCAACTAACACCGAAATGTTGCCACTGTCTGTGTTTAAGTGGATGTCATTGAAGACTTTAACAAGATCAGTCTCAGTGCTGTGGTGCCTGACTAGATCACATCCAAACAGTTAGTTAAATCCCAAAAATAGAGAAGTAGTTGTTCTGCAATGAAATTTGTGATCTCTTTTGATCCCTCTAAAAATGCTTAATAAATATGTTTTTTCATTATTATTACAAAAGTGACATATAATGCACTCAAGAGTTCCATATTTCAGCAGTTAAAGCAGTAAATCAACAAGATCTTAAAACTTTTACAGAGAAAACGTGTCCTGCAGGATGGAAGATGTTCGGTTGTTCCTTTTATCTCCTCTCTACTGAGGAAGCTTATTGGGAACAAAGCAGACAAAACTGCAGAGCCGGAGGAGCACATCTGGTGATCGTAGACAGTGAGGAAGAACAGGTAATGTGTGCTGCTTTAACACTTGTGATTGTATAACTCCCTGCTTTTATCAATCAATAATGTTTTTATTGTACATATACTAGCAAATGTGTCTATCAGCTATAATGATTACGTCACAACAATGGTGTTAATTACATATTTCTGAGCTAGTAAAAAGGGAAAAGTTATCTGAATGTTGATGTCCATCCCAGTAAACTGCATTTTTAATATGTGAACAGGAATTCATCACTAGCATGACCAAGAAAGACACTTGGATTGGTTTGAGTGACAGAGAAGAGGAGGGGACCTGGACATGGGTGGATGGATCTCCACTGAATCTGAATCTGACGTAAGGCTTTACTTTGGTTTTAAATACAGATGCTGGTTTATGTTGTGACCTTTCTAAATGTTTCACATGTTTCTGTAATGGGAGTTAACACAACACACAGGATGCATTTAAACGTAGGGTGTCTGCCCCTTTCACCAGAAGATTCATTTGGGTTTTAAGAAAAGAACATGGCTGTATTACTTATAGTTATTTGTATTTGATGTCCAATCTTTTAGTTCATCTTGTTTTCCTGTAATACCTGTTAGGCTTTGGGAAGAAACACAGCCGGATAATGGAGCAGAGAGGACACACTGTGCATACATCAGTCCCTCCGCCTGGTGGAACGACCAGTCCTGTGAGGACCTTCTGCCTTGGATCTGTGAGAAAGAAGCTTAACATTGGTGTCTGTTTGGATACTAAACATGCAATCATGCTTTTACAATTTAGTTTAAATCGAGTTATTTAAAACTATACAAAATGCCTGATTTCATGAATAAGAATTACTTTGCTCGAATTGATAAATCACATTTATTTAGTGTTTTTGTTTAGGATTAATATCAGTAATAAATAAATAGTAATTTAATTAGTTTTTGCCAACTTTTGTTTGCCTCAATTAAATTAGTATTTGTATTAATCCTTTTACATATCTTATGTAACGTTCTTATGAACTGGAAAGTCAGAAAGCCCAACTGCTTCAATTGAAATAGATGGCTGGAGGACTTCCTAAACATCTTCAGTATGGACGAAGCTGCTTTCTCCCTGTTATATTTGGTTAAGCCAGACAACAGGCATTTGGATAAGATAAGGGCTTTCCTGGACTCAAACCATCTCGGCTGCCAATAATAAATATAATAATTATAATAATATTAATTAATAAATAAAGAGAAATAAGCTATGAAGAAACAGAAAAATAATGGTAATAATAATGAAAGAAGTGAAATTAAATGGGAAATGTATTTATTTGACTATTTATCTATTTATTTATTTATGATAAATGTTTTGTTTTATAATAATAATGAGGAAACAATGAAGTATATCTATATTATTAAGCAAATCATGTATAAATACAACGCCATATGCATACATAACATGTAACTGACACTGTAATCCCCCTACCCCCCCACCCTTCATGTTATTGTCCTGTTCTGTTTGAGCCGTGTCCTTGTCCGTATGTTTTTGTCTTTGAAAATGTCTAATAAAATGTAAATGTTAAATCCTTTTACCCATCAACATAAAAACAGCTTATTAAAAACATCTGCTGATCAGCCCACAGTTCCTGAAAGTTATAATATTGAAGGTGACTTAATGAGCAGAATATGATAAAAATAACAACTGTCAAACATTATTGAATAATTCAGAAATATACAACAATACTCTAGTCTCAGCATTGGTCTAACTTGTTCAAATGTGTAAAATAGCCTGTGTGTTATACAGTATGTTTCCTAACAATGACCTCTTGTGGCCATGTGAGTACAAATCTATTGCAGGTATTTAACATTCATAGGTACCAGCCACTGTGTACATACTGTAAGAACTAGTGCTGTCAATTAATACAAAAATGTATGTATGTTTATCACAATAATACTCTGGGACTTTAACTGCAGGATTTTCTCATGATTCATTAAAAAAGTAAACTGCCTTTTATTTGAAGTTAATTACAGACCTTTAGTAAATGGGCAAATTAGATATAGCTAGATCAGGAAATGGCAACTTTCTTTGAGCATGCATACAAAGATAAAAACCGTAAAAAGATATTGTGATACACTTTTTGTTATATTCCATGGAATGCTCTTAACATCCCGATAGCAATGAATATCTTAAGTGCTTTGACAAAAAATCCATAAAAAAATGTCATCTGTGGAAGCCGTAGTACTGTAAAAAGCACGACCAATCATTTTAGCCGGCCCGGCTAAAGTAACTGGATGGCCTACCTGCCTGTCAGCCTTCCATCTGTGCACAAACTTATCTCGTGCCCTCATTGGTCATGTGCGCGTTCGTGTGTGTTGGAGGAGGGGCTCTGTAAGGAAGTGGCAGATTTGTTCAGGCTGTGTATTTTCAAACAACCCTGTCTCCTAGAAATTACGTTCCCACAAAACTAAACTGCATTCTCAAATACGTTTTGCAAGAAACGTATTTCCTTCCACGTTACGTTTGTTATGAACATATCTTAAATACGTTTATTTTCTACATATCTTCTAGAAACCTATTTTCTCTCACATGACGTTTGTTATGAACGTATCTTAAATACGTTTGCTTTCTACCTATATTTGCCATTTCTTTTCTAGCTTATAATAATGATAATAGTCATTTATTAATATCATTTTAGAGCAAACTTATTTTCGCGCTGGCTGGCGGCTGACTTTTCAGTTGACCAAATCCGTTATTATGCTGGTTAATGCTTAATAATCACAATATTGTTTGTAGTCGTTTCATACAGCATTCTCAATTACGTTTAGTTTTGTCCCACGTTACGTTTGTTCTGAACATATCTTAAATACGTTTGCTTTCTACCTATCTTTGACATTTCTTTTCTAGCTTATAATAACGATAATAGTAATTTATTAATATCATTTTAGAGCACACATTTGAAATCGACGATCGGGCTTGATATCCTATGGTTAAATTAAAATCAGTAGGCGAGGCTGTAATTTCGCCAGCTGCGAGGCAGAGTTTTAACATGCCAAAAAGCTGCTGTGTCGTTTATTGCACCTCAAACACCTCAAACTTCCTCTAAGGACAGCAGAAGAGCTCTGTGGCTTCAGGCTTGATCGCCGTTCAAATGACAGCGTTGGTTTCCCCAAAAGTGGGTGGGGCTGTGACGTAGATTTTACTCTCATCTATTATTCAAAACCATTCTATTTAATCCAAACGTAAATTACATGCCAGTGTTTTATCTTTTTATTAAGCGATTTGTTTATGTTGTTTAACTCATAGATATATATAAACATATGTTTTTATATATATCTATGGTTTAACTGGGAATGTTTTCACATTGAACCGGAAGTACGTCACTTCACTTTGTCTTCTTCGTCCCTTTTACGTTCCAGACAATGCATGGCTCAGCGTAACAGACTGAACAGCGACCCCAGGTGTGTCTACATTGGAATTACATCTTCATTACTGAAGGAAAAATACTTTACCTTGTGTTTGTTAACTGGGTTTTTAATGCAATTGGCTTTTCTTAATGGTTACAATATTGCTATGAGTTACAGTATATATCTGAAGCAAATTATGTTTCTGAAGATGTGTAGTCAATTCCACCCTTCAATGTAGCATAAATGTGAACTCTCATTACAGGAACAATACCGGAAACAGACGTAGGAAAGATCCTCAGCTCGCTGATTGGATGTTTTAGCCGCAATGCACGTTGGGATATGGTGTTTATGCGATGTGAAATCCGAAAACATTAAAAAAAATAATAATAATACTTTATTCTGAGTGTTCTTGCTTTTCTCTTTGAAAGTCATCACATAACGGCATTGTAATACACGGTTCGGCTACATTAAATATTACACATCTGCCATAGTTCTTTATTTATAGAGCCCTGATGAGAAGACTTCTGGACTGAAGTTCTGGAAGAACTGCCGCCGAAACTGAATACGTGTCGTGGATCATAAATATATCAACAATTAAACAACATCTTACATTTCTTTTCACAAAATACGTCTCCTTGCAGTATCAATACTAATACGGCTGACTTTTATATTTGATCCAATTGGTAGATAGGTCATATTTACACCATAACGGTGCACAGCTGATAGAAAAGGACTTGTAGTTTTTAAAGATATTACTGATTTTCTTTGAATATAAGAATGTAAATACTGAGTTGAGAGAATAGTCAGGGGATTTGGGTGATGGGAGACACATCTATGGAATCACAATTTCAATAGCTTACCATTAAATGACGGATATACCTTTCTGTCTGTGATGTTTTACAAATCAGATATTAATGTGTAGAAGTAAACATGAGAAATAATATAGCAATATCCTGTACAATTATGTAAAAACATGAATAAAACTACACATCTTCAGATGTTATACATACATAAGTGTCCTACACTAATAATACAAAGTTATTATTAGTATGCTGTGTGTACCTTGTGTGCACCGCCTAGTGGTTAAAGCACGTTATTTAATCATTTTTGTTGAATAATGTTATTTTTGTTGAATAATGTTATTTGATGAATAAAATATTAAGAGTACATACTTTCATAGGGGGAAAGTAGAAGGTCAATGATAGAAATATAGAATATAAAAAATCAAGAAGATACTGTAAGTGATCTCTACAATAAAACAGTGTAGTGCCTGATGTACAAAGATATTAATATGAGGATGTGCAAAACAGACAAACTAATTAACCTTTATTAACACATTAAACAATACTTTAGGTTTTCTTTCAAATAAGAAAAAAGCTTTGGGGGTATCTATCTACAGATAAATATTAAGCCTGACAAAGTACTTAGCGTCTAATATATTGCTTTCCTGCAATGTTAACTGTGTTGAAGCACTTATTTTAACTGATATTATATATATATTAATTATACTCTTATGTATGTAGATAGTATAAGACATGTGCAGAATTTGAGTTTAATGGTGGAGGAATACACACATATTGATAGATGTCTTGTAATGCACTGTTGAGGAACCTGTGACCCAAGTTTTTCATTAATTGCATAACTTCAACATCGTGGTGTATATGATATGTCAATAAACCTTAGAAAATCTTGAAAGGGATGTGCAAAATAGCTATTATATACAGTTTTTAATTAACTATTAGTAGAGAATAACGAGTAATGAATATACTTTATAGAGATCTGCAGATAAATGTTTAGTCTTCTCAAGCACCAACTAATATCTCTCCTGATTGTTGGCACTTGACAATCACCTTTCCCTGAATTTTACTCAGGTGTAACTAAAGTCTGCTTTAAGGGTTGTTTATATTTCACATCATTAATCAGAATCTGCAAAGTAACTAAAATAAATGTAGTGGAGTAAAAATACCAGGTTAACCTCTGAATTGTAGTGGAGTAGAATTCCAAAGTAACAATGAGCTGGCATGTGGGTATATATTAATGCTTCCCATTATGGACACAAGCGATTTTCACCCATTTATTAATTACATGTTTTACATTTGTACACACCAATTTGTTTCCTATCCCCTAAACCTCCAGGGCTGTACACAGTTTAATACTGTCAACTTCTAATTTTGGGAAAAACGAAAACGTCTTTTAAAACTACAATTCCCAGTAGAGACGCTATAGAACATGTTGCGAAACACAATAGCCAGCATTTGTAGTTCTGGGGGGGCGTTCGAGTCCAGTTTTGGAAAGTCTGCCGTGGTTTCGTTCCATTTCAAAGAGCTGTTTGGCGCTCGGCGTAACCTTGGCGCACTGCCACTCCAACATCCAATCCCAGAGCTTGAAGATTAATCACGGGGTTTGTCAACAGGACTGTAGTCCCAAACGATAGCTGGGGATTATGGGTAGTGTAGTGTCTTCGGCCATCCTAAACTCTGATTCTTTTTTCGGATTTCATATCGCATTAACACCATATCCCGACTTGCATTGCGGCTAAAACATCCAATCAGCGAGCTGATGATCTTTCCTACGTCACTTTACAGCCCTGCTCACTTTTGGGGAAACCAGCTGTCATTTGAACGGCGATCAAGCCTGAAGCCACAGAGCTCTTCTGTTGTATACTGTCCTTTCTTCTTAGAGGAAGTACAGAAACACGTAACTCTGGATTTGTTTTAATGTTTGAGGTGCAATAAACGACACAGCAGCTTTTTGGCATGTTAAAACTATTATTTTCTGCCTCGCAGCTGGCGAAATTACAGCCTCGCCTACTGATTTTAATTTAACCATAGGATATCAAGCCCGATCGTCGATTTCAAATGTGTGCTCTAAAATGATATTAATAAATTACTATTATCATTATTATAAGCTAGAAAATAAATGTCAAAGATAGGTAGAAAGCAAACGTATTTAAGATATGTTCAGAACAAACGTAACGTGGGACAAAATTAAACGTAATTGAGAATGCTGTATGAAACGACTACAAACAATATTGTGATTATTAACCATTAACCAGCATAATAACGGATTTGGTCAACTGAAAAATCAGCCGCCAGCCAGCGCGAAAATAAGTTTGCTCTAAAATGATATTAATAAATGACTATTATCATTATTATAAGCTAGAAAAGAAATGGCAAATATAGGTAGAAAGCAAACGTATTTAAGATACGTTCATAACAAACGTCATGTGAGAGAAAATAGGTTTCTAGAAGATATGTAGAAAATAAACGTATTTAAG